GTTTGGGCGGCTGTTACTTCATTTCTCCCAAATCAAATATACTGATCCACTGTAACTTGCTGTAGAAAAAGTAGGGTAAAATTGAGCAAGAAATGCTTCCCAGTGGTTATTAGGACTGGAATTGCTATTTTCAACAGCCATTGCCATTTGTTTTTTTTTTAGTTTTATTTGTTTAAAAGGAAGACAGTGATATTGCATTGGCAAATTCCCCATAGAAAGAAAGAGTGGACCAAAAGAATAATAAAGGCACCTCAACTTTTCCTCATTTATGGAGGACAGTCTTATAATATGCATCCAGATATCCTCCAATCACACAAGCTGAAAATTGTTCCACTTTATTGCAGTTCTGTAACCATATAGGAACCAATCCTGTCCGTGTTCTGTGCACGCCTAAAATTCCTGCTGAATGACCTGCCCTGGGAGTGCGTTACCAGTGACCCAGGTGTTACCATATTTGCTGATTACTTTGGGGTATGCTCATTTATTCGGGTTACTCTTCTGGGGAAGAGGATTCTGTAATCCTATCAATGTACTGCTTGTGTCACTTGTGTTTTCATATGGAGCTCTACTTCTCCCTTCTGCAAGTCCCCTCCCAATGGAGCTATCCTGCAGGAGCTAGGCTCCCTAGGGCTGGGTTACTCCAGCCCCAGAACTGGATGAAAAGCACACACACACACACACACACACACCCAAGTCTGAGTGGACCGGGTCAATCAGCACTGTCAAGCTGATCCCTTATGTGTCTCTGGACTCACTGGGCTGGATGAAGCAGCACTTTCAAGCTGCCTCTCCTTATATGCCCCTGGGCTCCATGGACTGGGTCAAGCAGCACTTTCAAGCTGTTACCCTTATGGGTCCCAGATTCAGCATGTCCCTTTCCCCACTCTCACATCACAATTGTATCAGAGGGGTAGCCGTGTTAGTCTGAATCTGTAAAAAGCAACAGAGGGTCCTGTGGCACCTTTAAGACTAACAGAAGTATTGGGAGCATAAGCTTTCATGGGTAAGAACCTCACTTCTTCAGATCAAGTAATGGAAATCTCCAGAGGCAGGTATAAATCAGTCTGGAGATAACGAGGTTAGTTCAATCAGGGAGGGTGAGGTGCTCTGCTAGCAGTTGAGGTGTGAACACCAAGGGAGGAGAAACTGCTTCTGTAGTTGGCTAGCCATTCAGTCTTTGTTTAATCCTGATCTGATGGTGTCAAATTTGCAAATGAACTGGAGCTCAGCAGTTTCTCTTTGGAGTCTGAGATGGAAGGAGGGTGCAGTTGGCGGGGGAGAGCCCAGGGCTGGGGCAGCAGGGGGTGCGGGTGGAGGGGGGAGAGCCCAGGGCTAGGGCGGCAGGGAGGTGGGGGGGTAGACCAGGGCTGGGGTGGGGGGCAGCCAAACATTTTTTTTGCTTGGGGCGGCAAAAAACCTGGAGCCGGCCCTGCTTACAAGAAACCTTTTGCATGAAGCATATTCCAATTATATTAGCATATTTTCATAAAATCATATAGAGTGCAACGTCACAAGCACTTTGAGCTCCACGGCTTTTCCGCAAGGTTCCACCAAGATTTGAACTCAGATTGTAGGAGGCAGAGTCCTGAGTGCTGACCATTAAAACATGGGACCAGCTTGTGCTGGCTTTGTTGGACATCTGTGACCCTTACGGGGCTGGCTTGTGTAAGGGGACTGTTGGCCCCTTATGCTAAAACTTAGTGGAGTTTTTTGGTTGTCTGGTTCCCAGTACCAATAGAAGGGGGAAGGGACAATGGGAAATGAGGACCCTGAGACTACACAGTCCTCAGGGTCAATGGGGAGAGGCCAAAGCTCCAGGTCAGCCTGACTGACAGGGCAAGCAGTCTAATGTGGGAGTCACCAGGCCAGAGGGTCCCATCCTCCATGTCAGCTGGAACTACCTGGGCCAGAGTGGGGCCAAGCTAAGGAGAGAGCAGGAGCCCAAGAAGAGCCAGGGAGGAGAGCTGCACAGGTGTAGTGCCAGAAACATGTAGGGATTTGCTACCTGTAGCATTTACTGATATCTGAGGTTGTTCTTATTTGCTGACTTGTCCTAATTTGCTAAAACTTGACAGTGGTGTGGGATGGAAACATAAAGTCTTCGGCTTCCAAACGACCCTGCCTGGTGTACATCTGTGTCAATTACCTCTTAATGCAGGATTGTAAAAAATAGACTAAGGTCATTTAAACATCATTGATTTTGCAGCTTCATTTACTGTGCTAACAATGTAGCATCCTGACATTGATACTTCTGCCCAAGTGACCTGTGGGTTGGATTTATTTTAGTGGGACATGTGGAGGATAACCTGGGCCATGTCCTTGCTAGCTCTCACTTTCCCACAACATTTTGTCTCCAACTTCTGTCAGTAGCAACTTCAGTGTCCCATACTCCTCGACTCTTAAGCTCCAAACTTAACTGCTACTTATTTCTTAATCTTCTTTTCTGGGTCTGGGTCTGCCTTGCTTGCTGCCAGCCTGTCTCCCACCCCTGGGCAGCCTCCTTCCAGATTTTCCTGGATTACTGGGTAGAGGCTGGAGCCAGTTCTCTTTTGAATTGCACAAACCACCCATTAGAGGGGAGCTGCAATAACCATTTGTTTGCTGTGGGGCAGCTTAATGGCCGGACGGTTTAGAGCTGGCACCCTCTGTTATCGCGCTGGGGCCGGCGATTCTGACACTTGCCTGGTCCCTGATGCAGCGGACACAGGGGGGCCACAATCTGCCAAGCCACTATTGCCGTGCTGTCCTGGCTGGGATGAACAGAGCCCGTTAGTCTGCTGGGGCTTAGTCACACAGCCCACATTGACTTTAATGGATAAAACCCACCCCTAGTACACTGGTGGAAGGGATGTGAGGAGAGCCCCTATCAGCTGACTTTATACCCCTGCATTTCAACGGCGGCTCCTCAGGAGCAAGACCCACTTTACACATTCACTGTGTGCACTCAGGTCTCCTTTTGCCCACCATAGAAATGCGTGATGCAGAATTTCGCAGAATTCCCTGTTTCCCTCGCAAAATTGGGGCTGCAGAGCTGCTGGTCACCACTAGGGGCCACTGGACTCTGCAGCAGAGTCCAGCTCACAGTGAGAGGAGCTGGAGTGCCCAGCCTGGCTGGGCTGGAGGCTGCATGCTCTGCTTGATACTCATTCTCCTGAGGACAGGAGAGGGCCTGGGAGATCCAGCCAGCTCTAGAAAAGGGCAAGGAAGGTCAGGGCTGCACCACACCACGTCCCCTGGCGGACAGTAAAAAAGCTGTGGGGGGGTAAAGGCTTTGGGGGGCCTGGTGTCTGGGGCGGGGGATGCCCCACAGCTGGGCTCTAGCAGGATGGAGGTGTCTGGGCTGTGGGGTTCCCCACAGCTGGGCTCTGGGGGGAAGTGAGTGCAAGTGTCTGGGCTCTGGGGGCCCCACACAGCCTCCTCCATCACCCCCCAACTGGAACTGGGTTGACATAGGGGTTTCTTTAACTCTCTGCTCCTGGGGGAATCTTTATTGCTGTTGTCTATATTGTTGACATACTTGTTGACAAGTATTTTGAAATAAATTACAAAAATAATTGAAACTGGAGTGATTATATTGTGTTATTTTGACAAATAAAATGCAGAATTTTGCAAAATTGTAAAATATTTTGCGCAGAATTTTTAAATGTTTGGCATAGACTTTTTATTTTTTTGGTGCAGGATTCCCCCAGGAGTAATCATTTGGAGGGTTTGCTCAGCACCTTGGAACCCTTCAGGTGAGCAATAGGGTGGCTGAAAAATATTGGTCTTAAAACAAAGCTTGGGGTGTTGGAGAGAGCAGCAGAATGCACATGCAGGAAGAAATTCCATCAAGATGGCCACTGGACGCATGGTGAGAACATGCCTGTTGGGAGCTCAATGCACATGGGCATTTACAAGCTGTGGGGTGGAGGCAATAGGAGATTGTAAGATCAAGAGACTTAGCATCGTTGGAGCCAAGTGTGGTGGAACTTGTGAGGGCAGCGAACTTCCCAGGGAGAGTATGAAGATTCCAACGTCTTTGTAGTTCCACATCCATCTCGCTTCAGAAGAAGTCTGGCCAGTATGGTGGATTATAACTGCTTGAGGATGGTCCCTGTTATGCCACCAAGGAAAAGGGGGCAATACTTTACATCCCGTCCCAGAGTGAAATCGATAACTATGTACTCACAGTCAGTGCTTATAGCAGTCTGAAAAAAGTGTGTGGGGGGTCTATCATCACCCCCATCTCTGTAAAGCAATTAATTCTGCCCCCCAAGCCTGACATCAGTTCTGCTCCCCATCTGACCACTGCTCCATCTGCAGGACCTGGGGTTCTTAGAGGGAGAAGGTTCAGGAATTCTTTGTCCCCCTCTGCCTCTTCTCTCACTGGGTGTTGCAGGGAAGGTTATTCTGTTATATGGACCAGTCATGAGAGGTGGACAAAGACCCACCTTTCCTATTGGGGGTTAAATACACTCCATTTGGGGGCATTGTGGGTGTAACTATTTCAGAATGGTCATTACCTTCACTCATTATCTTCAGGCTGAGAAATATGAGATTCAGTGACTATCCCATGGCTGGTTAGCCTGGGGGAGACATACCTTGCTGCAGCGGTAGGAGACTACTGGCATGAAGGAGAATGTTTCAGGAGTTTTCTCAATGGATCCCAGAACAGTGGAGATGTTGACAATGGCTGCCTTGCTGCAGCTCATCCCTTTCTGGTTGCTTCCCTGGGCAGCCTTCTTCAGCAAGGGCAGGAACGCCTGGGGAGACACTGGGTCACTTTGTACTTGATAACAAACTTACCTGCTTCTCAGACCTAAATCTGCCTGCACCTGAGTCCCACTTCCTGTGATCCCCCCAACCGGCTCCCCCCTTTGCTTCCTCCTCCCACTCCCCATTTCCCACCTGCCTTCACAGCACCTCTATTGCTAGGAACAGCTTCCTAATTAGCTATCCTTGAGCATCTCCACCTTCAAGCCGCTCCTTAACCACCGCCTGCTCTGTTCCTTCTACCACCTAGAATGTCCCTAAAATGCCACTGTCTGTCCTGAATCTGTTTGTGTCTTCAGACTATAAACTCTTTAGGGTGAGAGCTACATTCTATTCTGCTCTGCATGTTGCCAGCTGTAAAATGCCGGGTCCAATTACAATGCTGTATAAGTAATAATAATACTAATTGATAAATAATAATAAGCATCTAGATGAGGCTTGCAATGTCTGGATCACCAATGGCATAAAAAGTGGGTGCACTAAATTCTCTTCTCTGTTAGGCCTGTGTCACCCCATTAAAGTGAATGGAGCGAGTCAGTGTTACCAGGGCAGCTGCACCTTTGACCTCTTCTCTGGTCTCTGAGTGCCCCCCATCAGGTGTTATACCTCATGCCGTTACCTCCCCAGGGTGGAATCCTGAGATTCCCCAGGTCTCAGAGCGGGTCTGGTTTGGCACCTGCAAGCAGAGCTGAGCAAAAGTTTTTGACCAAAACTTGTTTTCAGTGAAAAATGCAGATTCAGTGACACTGCAATATTTCACAAATTCATGTTGATTTCACAGAATTGTTCTTTTTGGAAAAAAAATGCAAAGTTTCTGAAAAAATTGAAACATTTTAATTTTTCATTTCAAAATCACATTTTGGTTCAAACTTCCTTTCCTTTTCTGTTAAAGAAATCCAAAAATATTTTAAAATGTTCAAAATTGAACTGTTTTGTTTGACCAAATGATGAAGTAATAATAAAATAATAATAATAATAATAATTAGTGTTAGTTTTTACTTTGTGATTTGCCAGTAATTATCATTTTTGTACTGATCCAGAATGACTTTTTTTAACTTTTCAAAATTGCCAACGAACCAAGAAATCCATATTTCACCCAGCTGTATCTGCAAGTCTTCCCTTTGGGAAGCAATGTTCAATACAATGCCCCAAAAGAGCCTTCTGAAAAGGAAGGAGAGTTTAACTTTCGCAGCAGGAACATGGCAAAGCATAACAGAGAGGGTGTTTAACACATCAGGTCTATGTGCAGGTCTGTATTACCTAAGCGTTCAGGGGAAGCCTCAACTGCTTCAGACTCTTCTGCAGGGTTTGTGTCTGTCTGTTCCTCTGAACACCTCCCTGACAACCGCCCCCCACCTCTGTATTTGTACAGCACTGAGCACAATAGAGCTCTGAGCCTGACTGGAACCTCTGGGCTTTACCAGAACACAGAGAAGTCTAGTCTAATGAAAACAAATGGGCCACTTCCTTTTAAAGCAGGGTGGGGTGAAATATTAGATCTCTCCAGCTAATTATCTTGTCTTAAACCAAAAATCCTGTCTAAGTATTCTCAGCCGAAGGTGGACTCTTACCTGGGTCACTAACAGTGGCCCAATAACATTTGTGTTATAGACGCTTAACATATCTTCAGGAGTGGCTGACTCAAGTGTGCTTGGTGGCATAACGCCAGCATTATTTATCAGCAAATTTAGGCCAGTTCCTCCCAGATGGGCCTCAGCTTTCTTTGCAGCGCTCTCGATGCTCGCTGAGTCTGTAGCTTCTGGACAGAGAATACAGGACTGGTTATGAGCATGGTTTGGTTCCATTCCTGATACTATATGAAATAAAAACAACAAGGAGTCTGGTGGCACCTTAAAGACTAACAGATTTACTTGGGCATAAGCTTTCGTGAGTAAAAACCTCACTTCTTCGGATCCGAA